AGGTGGTGGAACATAACCTTTCGAAGGAACTAGGCCTGATCTCAACAGCCTCATTTCTGTTATTAGTGGTACCATCCTGTATGTGACCCTCAGGCATATATATATTTTTTTTTCTTTTTTTGCAGTACAAGGGATTGAACCCAGGGCCTTCACATTGAGCTACATCAGCCCTTTTACATTTTATTTTCTTTGGGGGAGGTTGTTTGTTTGCTTGGTTTTGCTTTGCTCCCCTCCACCATACTGGGGATCGAACTCAGGACCTTGCACTTGCAAGGTAGGTGCAGTACCACTGAGGTAAATCCCCAGCCCTGGTTTGGGCTTTGTGAGACAGGGTCTTGTGGTGTAGTTTAGGCTGGCCTCCAATTCCCAATTGCTTCTCCTGCCTCAGCCTTCTGAGTACTGAGATTACAGGTATGTATCGCTACACCCAGCTTATTTTTTATTTTTGAAATAGGGTCTTAGTAAGCCCCTAAATTGCCCAAGCTGGGTTCAAACTTGGGATCTTCTTGTCTCAGCCTTCCAGAGTGCTAGGATTTCGTGTGCCACCACTCCTGGCTTTATAATTTTGAAGTTGTCGTTAACGAACGTCTCTATCACCCATATTTATTAGCTAAAGGAATATCACTTCTTCCTCCAGGATGTCCAACATTCATCTCCACAACCCCCTTCTCATCACCCCATTCCTGGGTCACTTAAATCACCTCCTAATGTTTAACTGTTCCACATATAGCATCTAAGGCAGGGGTTGGCAAACTACAACCATAGCCTAATCCAGCCTGCCGCCTGTTTTTGTATGGCCTGCCAGCTAGGAAAGGCTTTTACATTTAAGTGTTGTGATATTTCGCTGGCTATAAATGAGGGTCATTGGAACACAGCCGTGTTCAGTTGTTTACATATTGTCCGTGAAAGCTTTGATGCCATAGTGGCAGAGTCCAGGTGTTGTGGCAGAAAGCACTGACCCACACACTCTAAACTGTCCACTGACTGATCTTTCTCAGTGCCTCATGTCCCCTGCTCTAAGAGTCTCCTTAACCTGGTTTCAAAGCCCTCTGGCTTCTCTCCTTACTATGCTGGAGAGGCCCTGTGCTCTGACCTCTTGCATGTACCCTGTTAAATCCCGTAATATCTTTTTCTCTATAGAATGTCCCACCAGCTTGTAGTTCATCCTATACACTGCTCAAGGCGATTGGAGGTTTTGCTTCTATAAGAACTCATTCTCAGACGATTTCATCCTATTAATCTTTTCATTATTTTGAACTTATTCATCAGGAGTTTTCAGTCTGTACTATATTTTTAGGCACGTGTATATTTTGCTGTTTTTGTTTTTACTTGAGATAGGTCTTGCTATGTAGCTCAGGCTGGCCTTAAACTTGTGACACTCCTCCTGCCTCAGCCCCTCGAGTGCTGGCACTACAGGTGTGTACTACCACTCCCTGCTGGCTTGTCCTTTAGCATGACCTTACACACAGAAAATATTTAGAAACTATTTTCCCCTTTGCATTTGCTTGTCTGCTTTAATGGGGATGTATACAGCTAATGATATTAGTTTTTGTTTTGTTGGTAATTATTTATCTAGCATTTATTATGTGCTTAGTAAATAGAATGTAAAATATTTCTTTATAATTGGATGACCCCAATTTCTTTCTGTGTTTTAGACTTTAGGTGGAAGACTGTAGCAAGAAGCAGGGAAATTAAGTCAGCTGTGGTATCCATGGAAACTGAAAGAGTCATTTGAATGCACATTGTGCTACACTGCACTGTACCAGGTTTTTATAGACAAGTTGATTCAAGAAAACAACTATTTTTTTAAACTTTTATTTGTACATGTTTAATTGGATAGCCTGAAAACAACTATTTAATGCCCTTATTTTGACTTTTTTTTTTTTTGTTTTTTTGAGACAGGGTCTCACTATGTAGTTGAGACTGACCTGGAACTCACTATGTAGCCCAGGCTGGTCTTGAACTCACAGCAATCCTCCTGCCTCAGCCTCCCAAGTGCTGGGATTACAGGCATGCGCCACCACACCTGGCTATTGTGACATTTTTTAAATGAACATAATATAGCAACACCAAAAAAAAGTGGAAAGGAAAAGAAATTGAGAAACAAAGTGAACTCACAAGAGGAAAATATAATTAACATTAAAGACCAGCAGACTTAAGTAATATCGTTAGTCTAAGGCCAGGTCATGATAATAACTAAATTAGAAATAGTTTTCTTAATTACCTTTCTAATTTAGATTATGGAAGATTTTGTACCTATAAATGCAGGTTTGTAAACTTGAATCTATTGTTTCTTAGAAATTCAGTGTTAAATTCAGAGGTAAATTTCTTGAAATTCTGTTTCAAGGCATTGGATTTTGTTCAAGGTTAGGGAATCAGGATGTGCATCAGGGTAAGGACACACTTGTAGGGTTAATCATAAATCATCCAGCTGCCATATGTGGAACACTGACCACATGTCAGCATGCCCTAGATGCCTTATGTAGCACATTACAGACGCACTCGGAGCAGGCAGGGATGGGAAAATTGGGCCTCAGAAAGTGAAATGACCCACTCAAGTTCACCGACTCATTGTGAGGCAGACAGATGCGAAGTTTCCTTTTATTTCTTTTTTCTCCTTTCTTCCTCTCTCATTCTTTCTGTGTGGTACTAGGGATTAAATCCAAGGCTTTGCATTGAACTGCATTTCCGGTCCTTCTATTATTATTATTTAGGTGTTTTTGTTTTGTTTTGTTTTGGTACCAGGATCAAACTCAGCACATTGCACTTGCAAGGCAGGCATGGTGCCCCTGAACTAAATCCCCAGCCCCGTTTTAGTTTTTCTGACAGGGCCTCATTGTGTAGTTCAGGCTGGCGCTGAACTCACTTTTTATTTTTTATGTTGAGACATGCTGTTGCTAAATTGCTCAGTCTGGGCTTGAACTTGTGATACTCCTGCCTCACCATCCCAGAATGCTGTTGCTTTGCCTCTTTTTTTTTTTTTTTTTTTTTTTTTTTTTTAAATCCCTAGTTTAGTGCTGTTTCAGAAAGATGACTGAGCTGGGTAGGTGTGGTGGTGCACAGTGTAATCCTAGCACTCAGGAGGCTGAGATGGGGGGATCGCTGTGATTTCGAGTCTAGCCTGTGCTACATAGTGAGTTAAAGGCCAACCTGAACTACAAAGTGAGAACCTGTCTCAAAAAAGAAAAAGAAAGAAAGAGAAATGACAGAGGAAACCCCATTTAAGGGGAGGAGAAAGTCAGTGGTAGAATATATGCCGAGATCCTGGGTTTATCCCCAGCACTGCAAAACAAAAACAACCGAAAACCTGATAAACAACAAGCCAGCATATTTTATCACTGACAGAACTTTCTTTTTCTCACAGTATCCATGTTTAAGATTAAAATTTTTTTTCTTTTAAAGGGACATGAGAAGGATTCATTGAGGTAGATAGCAGAATGCAGGTGCTCAGAGAAATGAGATACATTTGGAAACTGGGTGTTTTTATGTGTTCGGTAAGGGAAGTCTGTGGAATTAAGATTAAATTCTTTCTAAAATTCTGGTGTCAAAACAAAAGCAAGAAACAAATCTTCAAGAGGAGTGTAGGCCCTTATTTAGGTAGGAAAAGGATACGTTACATAAATGATTCATCCATAAATTGACATAGAATTGCTTAGTGCTTTCCTTTAACCTTTAGTTTTAATTTGGTTTAACCTTTAGTTTCAGGTATAGCTATGCCTTCCAGTGACTCTAATGACAGGAAAGCTGTAAATGGATTTGAGTTAAGTTCTTGCAAGAAGTGAGTATCTGCCATAGAAAAGCTGTTTCTTCAGTATAAAGGGTGAAAACAGCAAATTAAAGACTATTCTTTAATAACCAAATGTAATTAAAAGGCATTGTCAGATTTATGTCTTTGTACCTCAGAGGCATTGGTATTGCCTGTTTCTGAAATGAGATTGCTGACTCAATACACACACACACACACACACACACACACACACACTCACACACACACTCTCTCTCTCTCTCTCTATATATATATATATATATATAAAATTTCCCAAGCCACCTCCTCTCCTTTTAATTTTGATGTTATGATATAATGTACAGAATAAAATAGAAATGTGTCTCAGGGATTTGTAAATATACTTAAGGTTTTGTCAATTTCGAAGCTTTAGGTGAAATGATTCTTTTTCTATAATCAAGTATCATTTAGAAAATGACAATATTTATTAAGTCCCTTGGAATGTGCTCAGTGTTACAAATCAAAACCCCTACCACAATCCCTTTTTCCCTCCTGGAGTAGTTTAGTTGCTTAACTACAGTCATTCTGAAGAGAGGCGGTCTGTTCATCATCGATATCCTGCTTTCTCCTCATCTAAGGGTCTGTGGACGGACAGGCCTCACTTGCTCCTTAGCTATTCCTATGAAGTCTTAGCTGTTCCCTTAAGGAGCAGAGTAGAGATGAGGGACCCAAGGAGTGATCTCCCTGGGCTGCCAGCTGATGGACTCAAGATATACAATTATCACATATACAATTCTGGGAGCAAGGTTATTATAGTGCCCTGGGTCACCCCAGGTCAAGTCCCTGATCCAGCTTTTCTTTTCCTGTCCTCACCCCAAAGCATTAATGATGCAAGAAGTGGGTGACATGTTGAGGTTTGCAGTGATTGATAGATTCCTTACTTAGGAATTTTACTCTGAATGCATCTGTATGGAAATTATACAGAGGATAGAATAATGATTCTTTGTGTCAACAAAGAGTGGTATCGGTTTTTTTTTAAATATCAGCTCTAGATTGAAAGTAGCAATAACTTCCTCTGACCTTGAAAAATACATAACTTCTCTGCATGTCTCTTCTCTTAATCTCGGGTGATATGTTTACCAGTGATGTTGTGTAGATGGGAAAACCTACCTGAAGTGTTCTCAAGTCCTTAAAGCATTAAAATGCAATGTTGTCATTACAGTAAGGAGGAGAAAGAGACAGATCTTCATTGTCTTCCTTAATCTCATCTTTCCAGATGCCAGGAGGGCCTTCTGAGTGCCCTCTGTTCCTTAGAATGCAGTGGCCCGGATGTGTGGGTGCAGGAAGGATGCCTTCCACCCTATGACGCTGCCCTCCTCAGAAGTCCCCTGCCAGTAGGGGGCGAGTGTGACACTCGGTGTGCTGTGCTAGGGGACCATAGAATCTGCCAGTAGAAGGTGGCATCTCTCCTCCTCCCCACGCAGGCTGAGGAGAGGCAGCCATGGACTGTGTGCTCCTTCACGGCTGGCCCACTTCTCCGTCGCGGATCCCACGGCCAGGAGCCGCAGCTCCTCTGACCATCCGCCGTGGGAAAGCAAAGTGAAATCTGACGAAGAGGCCAGCGCTTCCGAAGTCCACTGACCTTAGGCCCTTCGGAGCTGTCCAGGGTGTGAGCACGGTTGTCATTGAGTTCATCAGCCATGTCCTTCAGTGCCACCATTCTCTTCTCCCCTCCCAGCGGCAGTGAGGCCAGATGCTGCTGCTGTGCCTGTAAGAGCGAGACGAGCGGGGACAGCGCAGGCTCTCAGGGCAGGAACCCTCCTCCAGGAACCCCCATCACGGTGACTGGACATGGCCTGGCAGTTCAGAGCTCTGATCAGCTCCTGCATATTATCTACCAGCGCGTGGACAAGGCAGTGGGGCTGGCTGAGGCCGCTCTGGGTCTTGCCCGGGCCAACAATGAACTGTTAAAGCGGCTGCAGGAGGAAGTAGGTGAACTAAGGCAAGGGAAAGTGTGTAACCCTGATGAGGATGGGGAGAGCCGGGCCCGCAGTCCCCCAGCTGAGGAACCTGGGCCCCTCAAGGAGAGTCCTGGTGAAGCCTGCAAGACTCTGTCTGCTGTGGAGGAGGAGTGTGACAGCGTGGGCAGCAGTGTGCAGGTGGTGATCGAGGAGCTGCTGGGGGCAGCCTCAGCCGTGGGGCCTGGGCCTCTGGGCTTCCCGGCCCCTCAGAGAGACCTGAGGCTCCCAGGATGCGCCCTGTCTGCCAGCGAGGGGCCCCCGCTGCTGCATCCTGTGAGTACACAGCAGTGCAGTTGCTCCTGGCCTCTCTTGCCCTTCTTTCTCTACGTTCGTTCCATCTGTAAGCCTTTCTTTTCATTTATTCATTCATTTATTTACTTTTGAGACAGGGTCTCACTATGTAGTTGAGTCTGACCTGGAACTCACTATGCAGCCCAGGCTGGTCTCAAACTCACAGCGATCCTCCTGCCTCAACCTCCTGAGTGCTGGGATTACAGGCGTGCGCCTCCACGCCCGGCTGCCTTTCTTTTATTTGTGATAAAACAACAGCACCAAGTTTCCTCTGTCCTCAGGGACGGCCAGGGACAGTCGGCACTCCATTTCCTTCCTGATTTGGCCTCTTGGACGGTGGCTTGGGGCCGGCGTGGTGCTGGCGAACCCTTCCCTCCCTCACAGTCGCTCCACATGGCACCTTCTCCTCACAGATGTCTCGGCTGCTGCATGGCTTCTGCCTCTCCTGGAGAGAATGCCTGCCATGCACAGACGGCTCATTCATATTTTAACACGGGCCCTCTGCCTGCCAAGAAGAGTTGGGTATGGTGAGATAGGAATGGGGAGGGATAAGGGAAGAGAGAAGAAAAGGAGAGGGTGAGGACCAGGGCAAGGGTAAGAAAAGGCGGGCACAGGGCCAGGGATCCAGCTCAGTGGTGCTGCTCCCTGCCTTGCAAGCACAAGGTCCCGAGTTCAATCCCCGGTACCCCCCCCAAAAAAAAAGAAAAGAAAAGGCAGACACAGGGAGGGGAAGAGACAATTAGAAATGAGAGGTCCAAAGAAGAGAACAAGGAAAAAAGGGATAGAAGAAAAATGGGTCCTTGTGGAAAGAGGAGGATGTGTGTGGGGGAAAGACAATGAGGTGGGGAAGGTGTAGCAAAGAGATGGACGGCTGAAAGCGAATACTAAGAGGATGGCATGGAGGGAGGAAGAGCGAAGCAAAGGAGAAGCAAGCGAGCATATTCAGTGAGCAGGAAAAGACATGGGTCTATTTCAGTTTCTTTACTGCTCAAGGGCCGTATGAGCAGGAAAATCCTGGCTGAGTAGAGTAAGAACTGCAGAATGTCACACATGGAAGCATGAAAAGGAGATGGAGCAACTATAGAGATCATAGAGACGGAAATAACAGATGTGTCGCCGCTTGAGAGATGGCGGGAGGTCTGTCGGCTCTCTCCACCTCATCCTCCGCTGCCCGCCCCCTCCCCCTTGGACAAGGCTTCCAGGCTCAGGAAAGAGCACAGAGCAGAATACACAGGGCTGGTGGGAGGGAGGAGACTCCCAGTCCATCTGCTGGGATGGAGGAGTGAGTGCAGACCCTCCCCTTTCCCTCCAGTCTAAGTGGCCACTGGCCATTGCTCTCTCGAAGGCACAGCTGGCGTGGCAGTCGTCACTGCTGCTCACTCTCAGTGGGTCCCTGGTCAGGACTCTCAGTCCTGCTTTGGGCCCGTGGGAGGAGGAACTGGAAGGCAGGAGTCAGGAGGTACCAGGCCAGGCGATGCCCTGAGCCGTGGGTTTGCTCAGGCAGGGAAGGCTTCCAAGCCGACAGGATGGAATTAGATTTCACAGCACAGAAAGCAGCTCACAGGTCTATAAATCTCAGCCTCCTCCCCCGCTTCTTTCTGTGTGTGGTTTCCCCCCACTTTCTCTGTTTTGTTTTCTTGGCTGCAGAAATCTTCCCCTCCTGTCCTTCTCCCTCTCTCCCTTGCTCCCTCCTTCCTTCCCTTGCCCTGTGTGTCCTTGAGTGAGGGCACAGGCAATCAGCTCAGTGTCAGGGCCATGACAGCCCAATGTGGCCAGACCAGGATCAAGGTGAGGGCACAGACTGCCCCTCAAAGGGAATGGAAGGGAGGTGCGGGGAACTCTGCTGTGCCAGTCTCCCCAGGGATTTCTGAATGTGTCTCCCTGCTTTACTCTCATTTTCCCTTTTTTCCCCCTCTCCACTGTTGCTACTATTTAATTTTCTTGCTCCTTTCTTGTTTGATTTTCCTTTCTTGCCATCACTCCCTTCCCTAATCCCTTTTAAACAAAACACTTACCTTGCTACATTTCCTATACTCAAGAGCAAGCCATCAAAGACTGCTCATAGAGCATCAGAATCCTGCCTTGTCCTTGGAAGCAGCCCTACGCTAACGGCCATACAGTACACACAAAAACTATTTTCCAGCTATCCCATAAAAATTCAGAGTAGCCGGGTGTGGTGGCACACGCCTGTAATCCCAGCACTTGGGAGGCTGAGGCAGGAGGATCTCTGTGAGTTCGAGACCAGCCTGGGCCACATAGTGAGTTCCAGGTCAGTCTCAACTACATAGTGAGACCCTGTCTCAAAAAAAAAAAAAAAAGAATCCAGAGAAACAAGCTATTGAACATCAAACACTGCTCCGATCCCCCCCTTTTTTCCACTCTCTGTGCACTAGTCTTGGCCAAAGAATGGTGGTTGACTAGGTTCCCCTGTGCCTGGCTGGCTAATAGTCCATTCATTTTTCTATTCTTAGCTGGTGGATGATTATGTGGCCTCTGAGGGTGCAGTACAGCGAGTGCTTGTCCCTGCTTATGCCAAACAGCTTTCTCCAGCCACACAACTGGCTATCCAGCGGGCATCCTCAGAGACAGGACCAGAGAATGGAGCCAAGCTGCCACCACCCCGTCCTGAGGACATGCTCTGTGCTGCTGCTGCGTTGGACAGTACCTTGGAAGAGTCTGGCCCTGGGAGCACCGGGGACCCGAGACACTCTCTCGGGCTCACTGCTTCCCCGTGCAGGACCCGCGTGAGTGGGCAGAAGAACTCCAGGCGCAAGCGAGATCTAGTTCTCTCTGTAAGTGAGCTCTTGTTTCTGCAATCTGGAGAGAGAAGCGAATCATGAAGGGTGGGTGGATTTAAGCCTTCCATACAGAGTGAATGATGTCCCAAATCCTACTGAGTGGAAGAAACAAGGAAGAGCATTCTGTAGCCCCGGGGTTAGGTAGTACATTTTATATCTGTCAAACTTGTGGGCTTCTCTAGAAAAAATGATACCTTCCCTTTCACAAGAAGGGAATCACATCACATCTCCCAGTGTTCTATACTCTTGATGGGGAAACCTCTAAGGGATTGAGCAGATAATCACCAAAGGGTGGCACTTTGGCTAGTGTTTTGGGTCAGCCTCAGGGGGCCCCCTTGGGTGGAAAGTCAGGCTGTCCTGTGGTGGCCCCAAGGGTTAGGGGGCCTTTGTACACTCAGCTCAGTTAGACATTTGGAGAATGTAGTCATTCCAAGAGCTCTTGGCTGAAAAGGGACTGGCTTGCATTAGGTGTGCACTAAACCTTCTCTGAGTGACTAGGGACAGCCTGCTCCATCGGGAGCTCCCAGCCTGGCAGCTGACCCAAACATAGACATCTTCTAGGGCAATAGTTCTCAACTTGTGGCACTTTTGCCCCCAGGTAACATTGGGAACCCACTGGAGATATTTCCATCGTGTGGGCTGATGGAGAGAAGGCAGAATACTCCAGCTTACGTCAGTAGTTCAGGGTTGGGAAAGCTCCTAGGATGGCCACAGTCTTGGATCAGCTGTGTGCCCCAAACCTTTCTAAATACCATGGAGATGTTCCTTAACCATGTATCTGTGGACTGCGATGTGTTTCCAGTCTTGGCATAACGACCGAAGTAATGTGAGTCCCGGTTGGGAGTGCATGGCGTCACTCACAGCCAGCCTGACTTCCATCCTACCATGTAGCCCGTTCCTTCCTGTTACGTTCTCAGTAAAGACTGAAAAGAGCTGGTCATCATTTACATATCCTTGTGCTGCTTCTGTCTTTCTTTTTTTCTGAGCAATCTCCTTCTTGTTCTGCCTTTCATATGATTTGTTTTTGCAGCAGAGATTCTCTTTTCTCCTGGAAGACACCGTTCATTATCAGTATCAACTTGTTTCTAGCCTTCATTTTGAGTTTTGATTATGTTCAGGGACATCTTTTCAAGAGCAGGGGGTGAGTTTAGTTTCTGTCACAGATCTATGGCCCAAGAGGTCCATTCCTGCTGCCAGTAATAGGAATGAAGGAATAAGCCTAGAAATGCATTTCAAGGGATTCCCTGAAACTTCATCATGTTTAAATCATAAATAAATGTGATAATAATAATTTGTGTAAAATCAGGACTTAAAAATCATTTCCATTCCACTCCTGCCTGCCTCTAGAGAGAAGTGTAGTTTAGAGAATTGGCTTTTTTTTTTTCTCTCTCTCCTGTTACTGAGGATTGAACTCAAGACCTTGAGCACCTTGAGCATGCTAGGCAGGTACTGTACCACTGAGCCACACCTCCCAGCCCTAAGACTTGGCTTCTTCCTTCTCTTTGGAGAGTTCAGTGGATCTGGGGACCTTGTGGCAAGTCAGCTGCTCGATCATCATGCTCCCTATTATCATGCTTGAAATGTATCTACTGGGCCAATTGGAATGTCCTTGCCCATCACAGAGCAAGGTTTAAAAGACTAGAGTGTGGGTTTGTATGGGGAGGGTTGGTTGCGGTCTTTATTATTCAAATCTTTAGCTCTGGGAAGGAATCAGAGAGGCACCTCTTGCATCTGCTGGAGCTCCTGTGGATTGCTGCTAGGATTCTGTAAACCAGAAGGGCCAAACCAGAACCCTTAAATCCTAGGAATGCTGCAGATCCCATCCACCCTTAAGGAAATGTATTTATTTTTAGCTCACTCAGGAGGTAGAGGAGCCAGCAGCCTTTGCAGTCTTAACACTTATTGTCTAGAGTATTTTCTCTTTCCACTTCAAGCCTAGTTTGATTTTTATCACTTCATCTCTTCCAAACCACTTGAGTTAGAAGCTATATAACTTCATTTTTTTTCTCTCTCTCTCTCTTTTGTTGGGAAACTCTCCCAAATTCTTGCATTCATCTTTCTTTGTGAGTCCTTGGACTTCTAAGGGGGCAAAATAACTCAAATATAAAGCCAGTATAATTACAGTCCTTTTTATGGAGCAGAGACCCTAGCTGTAAAGAGTTAATAGTACTTTCCCTGGTAGTACAACAACTCAACATGAAGGCAGGACGATAAATTGGGGATTTCTGGAGAGAGAGCTGAACTGCTAGGTCAGGATGTGAATCTGTCAGTTTCAAGACTGAAGGTCTTGGAATGAAAATATAATCAGAAATGACAAAATTAAATCAAACAGAAAGAAATGTGAAACGCTGCATTAAAGTTCAAAGTATAAGTTGCAGGATGAACCCCTGTTATATTTTTGGGGGGGTTTTTTTGGTGCCAGGGATTGAACTTGGATCCTTGCACTTGTAAGGCAGGTGGCGGAACCACTGAGCTAACACCCGCCCCCTGTGATATTGTAATGGACATGGGATTGCTGCAAAAGGTAGCACCCCCTGGGCATGATGGCACATGCGTGCCTGTAATACTAGCACACTGGGAAGCTGAGGCAGGAGTATCCTGAGTTCAAAAGCACCTGGGGTGACTCAGCAACTTAGCAGAACCCTGTCTCAATATAAAAAATAAAAAAGGCTCTTTAGAAGATTTTAGAAGGCGCTGGATTCAATCCCCAGTACTGCAATTAAAAAATAAAAAGAAAGAGGGGGCTGAAGATTTAGCTTAGTGGCTGTCTCTGTGCCTGCCTGACAAGTGCAAAGTCCCGAGTTTGATCCCTGGTATTGAAAATAAAAGGTTGCACTATGTTGGATTTTATTCATAGAAGTGCAGAGTTATACCCTGGGGGTAATACTCCCCTGGCCAGGCCTCAGCTGATGAATTAGATTCAGCTATAGGTGCCAATTTACAAGAGAGACATGGGGCCAGGGCTATAGCTCAGTGGCACCGCGCGTGCCTCACAAGTACACGGTCCTAAGTTCAAACCCTGGTAGAAGGCAAAAAAAAAAAAAAAAAAAAAAAAAAAAAGACAGGCAAAGCAGAGAGTCTCCTATTTCTGATGGTTTTATGGGCCAAATGGAAATCAGATTTTGGAGCAGGTAAAGCAAAACTTTTTAACATTAAGCTGGGCATGGTGGCACACATCTCTATTCTCAATACTTGGGTGGTTGAGGCAGGATGATTGCAAATAGAGTCCAGTGTGGGCTCCATGGTGAGACCCTGTCTCAAAAACAAAACAAAGCAAATACACTGTAGGTGTTCAACAGAATAACTTGACTCAAAAAAGAGAAACATTCATTAGATATTAATTAGCAAAACTGAAAGACAGCCTGCTTCATGACATGAAATGGAGTTGGTGACAGTCTTCAACGTGCTATCCAATTCATATTCCTCTTATTTTAGATTTTTGTTTTCAGACCATGGTGTGTGTACCTCAGGGTCTAGTGATAATGTGTGAAAGGATATATAAACCCATGGCCAAAGCTGGGCATTTTCCTGGGTCATTAATTTTACTAGATTTCAGATTTCTATATTTCAAAGAAATATAGATATAGTTTGTTTGTTTCTTTTTTGTTTTTTTGGTACTGGGGATCGAACTTGGGCCCTTATGTTTGTGAGGCAGGCAGCGGAACCACTGAGCCAAATCCCTGGCTTTAAAATCCCCGGTTTTAAAATTTAGAAGAGTATAAGGTTTCAAGAAATGCTCATTTATTGCTGGGCATGGTGATACACACCTGTAATCCCAGCACTCTAGGAGGCTGAGACAGGAGGATGGCAAATTTGAACCCAAAAGACTGGTTTGTAGCTCAGTGCTACTACTCTGGCTCCTGGAGAAAAAGAAGGAGAAGGAGAATGGGGGGAGGAGGAGGGAGAGGGGGAGGATGAAAAGGAGAAGGGGAAGACTTGGAGTAGCCCTTGTATATAGGTGCTTGCTTGGTCTCTGCCATTAGGGGTATTTTGTGGAAATATTTGAGAACTACTGTTACAGTGATCACATTTCTCAGAAGTAAGACAGGAATGATTCTGGAGTCTTGACCCAAATTAAATGGAAAGGAGAAAAAAAAAACAACACCCCATTGGCTAGGCTTTCTGCCTAAGAAAGGCATATATATATATAGAGAGAAAGATGGGATCTCGGCTGTGGAAAGGATTCAGGCAAAGAACCCCACAGGGACAATGCTTTTTGGGGGGCACCTGGGGGTTGAACCCAGGGCCTTCACATTGAGCTCTATCATAACCCTGTTTATTTTTTATTTTGAGACCCTGTCCAAAATAATCCAAATTGTCCAGGCTGGGGATTTAGCTCAGTGCTTCTGCTACCTGCCTCACAAACGCAAGGTCCTGAATTCTATCCCTGGCACCAAACAAACAAACAAACAAAATATCCAAATTATCCTAATTGTCCAGGCTGCACTGCAACTCAGGATCCTCCTGCCTCAGCCTTCCAGAGTGCTACAGTGCCTTTTTACCCTAGGGGTCAGAAGGGAGTTTTCATTATATCCACTCCTGGCTTGATTCTGATTTTTTCCCCCCTCTAGAAATTGGTCCACAATGTGCATAACCACATCACCAATGAGAAGAGATTCAATGGGTCTGAAAGGTATGGTTCCTTGTCAAAAAGTTCTCTGGGTATTTTGCTAAGGAGAAGGAAGTGGGGAAGAAGCTCCAGTACAGCAAAGCTGAGGCCTGGCTCTGACCAGTACCCCTCATATCTGCTTTTCGATGGAGGAGGTTTTGCCACAGAGCTTCTCAGTGTTGGGTGTTTCCGTCTGGCTCCTAAGAGCTGACTGCCTTATCCATTCTGCCCTCTGTGTAGCATCAAGTCCTCTTGGAATATTTCAGTCGTGAAGTTCCTTCTGGAAAAGCTCAAGCAGGAGCTGGTGACCAGTCCCCACAATTACACTGACAAGGAGCTGAAAGGTGAGCCGGCCACATTCACGCCCACCCGCCCTTTCTCCGCTCCTCTCCTCCCTGCTTCTCGGAGAAGAGGCACAGTGCGGATGGATGATGGTGGTGCTGTGGAAAACAGTGCATTTAAAAACACTGTGGGGTTTTGGACTATTCTTCCCAGCAACAATATAGTTACAGGATTACCTCAAATCGCCTTTTTATTCCTCTTCTCAGTCTGAAATGAAAATGAGAGAAGAAAACGGCTAACACACCATGTATTATGTTTATGTTGGGCCTGAATCTGAGGTCAGAAGCCAGGCCTGTCCTTTTGTCCTCAATTATCAGGTCCTGGGTTGTCTTTCTTTGCTCACTTCTGTCTTTGTCCCTAACCTTGAAGTATTATGAAAATTCTGCTGAAAAGTACTGCAAATAGCCATTGGTAGAGTGGCAATAGGGATACATTTGATGTGGAAGGGGTGCAGAAGCAATAGAGTTGTCTTTTTTTTTTTTTTTTTTTTTTTTTTTTAGCGTGATGGCACAAGCCTGTAATCCCAGCATTCAGGAGGCTGAAGCAAGAGGATCGCTGTGAGTTCGAGACCAGCCTGGGCTACATAGTGAGTTTCAGGTCAGTCTCAGCTACATAGTGAGACCCTGTCTCAATTTTTTGTAGTACTAAGGATTAAACTCAAGGGCACTCCACCACTGATCTACGTGCTCAGTCCTTTTTAAAGTTTATTTTAGGGCCGGGGATTTAGCTCAGTGGTTCTGCCGCCTGCCTCACAAGTGCAAGGACCCGAGTTTGATCCCTGGTACCAAAAAATAATTTTATTTTAGCCTATAATCCCAGCATTGAGGAGCCTGAGACAGGAGGATCACCACAAGTTCGAGGCTAGCCTGGGCTACCTAGTGAATTCAAGACCAGCCTGAAAAATATAAAATTCTTTTAAATTGCCCAGGCTGGGCTCAAACTTGTAGTCTTGATACTTCAGCTTCACAAGTAGCTGGGGATTACAGACCTGACCACTGTGCCTGTCCAGCTAGAATTGTCTTTTGTGCACTTGGAGATACTAAGGGAAATTAGTGTTGGAGGTGGGTACAGGGTACTAACCCAAGAGGACTAGAGATATGCTGGTTATGCCAAGGATTATGTCTAGTGATTCCAATCTCCCATTCAGCAGCATGAGGGCAGAAAAAAAGGGCCGCTCTAGAGGATGGTACTTCTTGCTCTCTTCTCTCCCCGTCCCCAGGAGCCTGTGTAGCCTACTTCCTCACCAAGAGGCGTGAGTACCGCAACTCTCTGAACCCCTTTAAAGGTTTGAAAGAAAAAGAAGAAAAGAAACTTCGAAGTCGCCGGTACCGGGTAGGTCTCTAGGACTTTCTTTGAAGATGCTAAACCCTAAATTCTGTGTGTGTGGGTGTGTGTGTGTGTGGGTGTGTGTGTGTGTGTGTGTGTGTGTGTGATCTTAGCAGTTGAACTAAGGCCTCATGCAGGATAGGCAGGTGCTCTGTCACTGAGCAACATTCCCAGCCTTTAAGCTCTAAATGTTACCAAGTGTAGTAGGAAGAGCCAGAGACCTTGGTATCTGAGCATAGGGTTGACTTCCAGGACTGTAGCCCAGGTGAAGAAGGAGGGTGAACCAATTGTAAGATATGACCTGGGCACTAGTTTCCCCTAGGTACTGATTTTACTCTGCCTTCTTCCCTACCTAAATCCTTTCCCCAGTTGTAATCGGGTCTGTCTTTCTCCCTATCCTGGGCTCCCTCTTAGCTTTTTGCCAACCGATCCAGTATCATGAGGCATTTTGGACCTGAGGACCAACGCCTGTGGAAGGACGTGACTGAAGAGCTCATGTCAGATGAAGAGGACAGTCTGAACGAGCCAGGGGTCTGGGTGGCCCGGCCTCCCCGTTTCCGGGCCCAGCGCCTCACAGAGCTCTGCTACCACCTGGATGCTAACTCGAAACACGGCACCAAAGCCAACCGTGTGTATGGGCCTCCCTCAGACAGGCTGCCTTCTGCTGAAGCCCAGCTCCTTCCACCAGAACTTTACAACGCTAATTTCCAAGAAGAAGAAGAAGAGGGAGGCGATGAGAATGGATCTGTCTCCCCGTCTTTTGACCAGTCCCACAAAACCTGTTGTCCTGACTTGAACTCATTCATTGAAATCAAGGTGGAAAAGGATGAGTGAAGTCTATCATCAAGAATAACTGTTTTTTGCCACTTCTGTGTCCCAGAAATGGGAGGCCACAGGTCTTCTCAAAATAAGATACCCTCTGCAATCTGAGAAAGTAGAGATTTGCCTCTGTTTGTAACAGACTCTGGTGGGCTAAAAGAACATCTTTAGAAGGAGGGACACTCCCCACTGGGAATGGCAAGCCAGAAATTGCTTACTCCTAAGCGTAAACCGCACCTCAGAGGAGCCTGGAATGAGAAAAGGAAGATGGGACTGAGAAGCGTGAGGCCTTCCCAACACATGTCTGGGTCTTGGAGTTGCCCCCTGTTCCCGCATCCCTCTCACCCAAAGCTCAGGGGATGCAGCTTTGGTTGTAGCTTTTGCTTCCCCAGACTTGCTGGTCTCTCGCTGCAGTGGAAGAACAGGACTAGCCCTGCATCATACTGCCACCTGGTGGGCAGTTTCATCCACGGACGTGACTCTGGGATCTAGATATAATAGCTGTTGTTTATTGAATCATATAAGGAAGATTTTATTATTCTCATCTTACAGATGAAGAAATTAATGAATAAAGAATTCCCATGTTTCACTGGCAGTTTTCTCCTGCTTTATGGCTATTTTTCAGTCCTGTCAGCCGAGCTGTATTTTGAGGAAGGTACATGCATACACACACATAACACTGAATGGGTTGAGAAGTAAAATGGCTTTATATTCATTCAGTCAGTCATACAAAAACAACAAAAAAAATTTTGTGGGGGTACCAGGGACCAAACTCGGGACCTTGCACTTGCCAGGGAGGTGTGCTGCCACTGAGCTAAATCCCCAGCCCCATACAACAAATATTAATTGCTTAGTAAAAATGAGGTACTATAAGGTTAGATGACAAGGTCTTATTGTGTAGTCAGGAAGCCAGGCACTTGATGAACCGTGACAGAGGTGCCTATGGAGGGATGCAGCAGGCACTGATAGCTAGTCTACTCTGCGGTCACAAAAGGTTACTCATAGGCAGTGATGTTTAAGCCGATGTCTGGCAAGTGAGGAGGATCTAACTAAGGGAAGGAAGCCAGGAAAGTGTTTCGAACAGGTATAGCAGGTACAAGGGTCCAGAGGCAAGAGAGTACAGATAAGGTTTAATTTACTACAGACCAGTTCGGAGAAAGCATAATGCTGACAGAAGAGGCTGGAGATGTAAAGAGGAGACCTTTTGAAACACCTTAAAAAGGCTGGGCATTGAGGTGCTTGCCTGTAATCCAAGCACTTGGAAGGCTGAGAAAGGAAGATCACCATGAATTCAAGGCCATCCTGTGCTACATAGCAAGACCTTGTCTCAAAAACAAAAAACAAAACAATTACCTTAAAGAGTATAGCTGTTAGATCAGGACAGTGAAAAATCACTGAAAGGTCTTAAGCAGGAAAATGAGAGTCTTGTGTATTAGGAGAATCACTTACACTCCGGGTATAACACAGACTGGAGGAAGCTGCCTCTGCTGGGAGACACCTGCATTGGTTCAGGAGACAAAGTGGTACAGTGGTGAAAATGGAACATGGTACAGTGGCAATGAGACAGGACAGATTTAAAAGATATTTAGAGCCGGGTGTGGTGGCACACACCTGTAATCCCAGCACTCGAGAGCCTGAGGCAGGAGGATCGCTGTGAGTTCGAGACCAGCCTGGGCTGCATAGTGAGTTCTAGGTCAGTCTCAACGACATAGTGAGACTCTGTCTCAAAACAAACAAAACAAACAGAAAGAAAGAAAAGAAAAGAGGGAAAGAGCAAGCAGAATTGATAGGACTTGGTGATTTATAGGATTTGGGGTTAAAGGAGGAGACCCTAGGGTTGATGCTCAGGTCTCTGATTGAAGCAGCTAAGTGGTTACTGGTACCATTTACTACAGGACTGCCAGAGGAGCCAGTTGCAGAAGGTAAAAGGTCCTAGTAGTCATTTGAGAGGTTTTGTGGATTTTTTATGTGTGATACTGGGCATTGAACTCAGGGCACTTTACTACTGAGCTGCAGGCCCAACCTTTTTATTTTTTATTTATTTACTTTTTGTGACACTGGGGATTGAACCCAGAGGCTTCACACTGACCTACATCCCCAACTTTTAAACATTTCTTTTGAGTCAAGGTCCCTAAGTTGCCCAGGCTGAGTATGAACTTGGAATACTACCCTCAAACTGCTTCCACAGGTGTGTATCACCATGCCTGGTTTTCCTTTTTATTTATTCCTTTATATGTTTTGAGAGAGGATCTCATTAAGTTGCCCAGGCTGGCCTCAAATTTATGATCCTTCTGCCTCAGCCTCCTGAGTGGTCATTTGAGTTTTTAAGTCTAAAAAAGTCTGGGCTAGAGATATGAGAGTACAATCAAAGGCTTGGGGATGAAGAAGACCTATGAGCTCCCAGCTCTAGCTCTGATCATGGAGTGGCTACCATTAGTCATGCACGCTGTGGAACATGCCTTATCAGAGGACTCCACTTTTTCACTCATCTCTGCTTCCCATCATCCCCTGAAAAGGTAGGCTGTTTATCTCAGCTGTGCCCATTGTGGCCACCACCAGCTCCTGGGTAGGTCTCTCAAACAGCTCCTCAATTTTTTCTAAGATGTACTCACTCATCTTCATCCCAAAGGATCAACTACGTAAATAAGTAGGGCCAGGGATTTAGCTCAATGGTTCTGGCGCCTTCCTTGCAAGCACATGGACCTGAGTTTGAGCCCTGCTACCAAAAATGTGTGTGTGTGTGTGTAACTGGGGTCAGGAAAGGAGGGAAAACCTTACTGTTAATTCTTTTTTTTTTTAAGAGCAAGAAATATTTACTGGAGAGAAAGCTCCTGCCACAGCAGGAAAGCCCTTATTGTTAATTCTGAGGATGGTGCTCATAACAGGTTCTAGATGTAACCTGATAGCGCTGTAACTGGTGCTTTCAGTTCCCTCTGCTTCCATCTGATAGGAAACTCCCCAGGATCTGGGAAGAGCTGTTGGCTTGACTGGGAAACAGGATGATTCTCAGGAGAGATGAGGTCCTAGTAACAATGCGTCTTGGCTGAAGAAGCCAAGTAATTTGTACCAAATTATTTCCTCCCAAAGTATTAATCTTTCTTTTCCCATTCTCTAAGGCTACACTAATATAAAAGGTGTCCAATATGAGATGAAAATAATATGCATGATTTGTTTGCATGTAATTTTTATACTCATTTGCTATCTAAATACAAAGGAGTCATTTTTATTCTACATTCTACTCCCTCAGCCTTTTGTCCTTGATGCACTAGTCCGGACAAAACCATTTTAGTTGGTGTTTTAGCTTCAGCCGGGGTTATCTTCCAGCATGGTCAATATCAGTGTCTTTTCTACATGATCGTTTTCATTTCCTATTTCCTCTAACTGGTATTTCATCTTCTCCTCCTAATGCATACCCTTGTCTCCAACCAACGGGGAGGATGGGGGGAGGGGAGGCGTTCAGCCCTAAAACTAGATCTATCCCTAGTCACCTGAAATATTTGCTAAAAATCTCACTTCCCAACACCAGGGGGTGTCTGTCTAGTCCTCTGTCTTTCTACCATGAAGGCAGCGATTAGTCCCAAACCTTTTCTTCAGCGCTTTTATAAACACACACACACACACACACACCCTCCCCCAGGTATCTTTCAGTTCACAAACTTTTCCTTACTCCTTTTCACTGCTTCTACAAACACGTAAATCTTCCACCCTCCTGATCCACTATCACAGAACAGTAGGTTCAGAAAGTATATTTACTGAAGGTTCTCTGTGTCTCTCAAGCTCTACAGACCAACTTGTTCTTTCCTTTATCCTCCCACACTCGCCTTTACCCCAGCTCTATCTTTCACTGTCTTCCACCTCCCCATGTAGGATTCTCCACCCGTCAGGACTAGCTTTACCTCCTCGCTCGTAAGCCTCTTTACCCAGCTATCTACCTTTCTCCTTTCGCCCCCGTCTACTTCTCTATGGTTCTCTCCCTGTCTCGCTGCTTCCGCACCAGCTTCTCTCCATCTCCCACAGTCCGGACACTAGAAACAAAGTCACGGTATTTGAGCAGAACCAGCCTCCCGTCGCCCAGTTGCCCGGTCCCCCCGTCCAGGTCGCGACATTCCACAGTGCCCCTCCGCGCATTCCAACTGCATAAAAAAAAAAAAAAAGAGTCCCCTTCTCCCTCCCCCGACATTCTCCCATTCCAGTTCCTGAGTGCTGTGGTCGCAGTTGCCTAAACTGGCCCTTGCCCTCTTCCCTCGTTCAATCCGCTGGTCTCCACCCCCAACGCACTTAGCCCAGCGCCTCCTGCGACGCACCGTGGATCCCTGCGCAGACACCCAGAGCTGCGGGACGCACCGCGCTCCGCCCTTCCCGGAAAGTAGATCCGGCCGGGCAGACAAAAGTTTGGGAGAGAAGTTCCTTTCGAGCTGAGTGTGAGAAGAGGGGGCGGGGGCCCGGGGCGTTTTGGCCGTCGGGCGAGTCGACGCGTGAACAGCTAGACCTGCGGACAGGACAGCTCTTCCAGCCCCGCTTAGCCCCAATGCGCGGGGGGACACTGCCCCTCCCGCCGGGGGATGCTGCGGAGTTCCCGGCGCCAGGCACCTGGGCCGCCCACTAAGCCCGAGTGCTTGCCCTGTGCCCCTGGGGAAGCCGAGTCCGACCGCCGAAGCGCTGCAGGGTGCCGGGCGGGGAGGGGGCTGGAGGCCCCGGGCCCGAGGGCATGGAGCGGTTAGGGGAGAAAGCCAGTCGCCTGCTGGAGAAATTAAGACTCTCGGACTCCGGCAGCGCCAAATTCGGCCGCAGAAAGGGTGAAGCTAGCCGGTCTGGGTCTGATGGGACCCCCGGGCCGGGCAAGGGGCGCTTGAGTGGGTTGGGGGGACCTAGGAAATCAGGGCCCCGAGGAGCTACTGGGGGCTCTGGGGATGAGCCGTTGGAGCCGGCCCGGGAGCAAGGGCCCCTGGACTCCGAGCGGAACCCGCGCGGCTCGTTTGAGGCGCAGCGCTACGAAGGCTCCTTTCCCGGGGGACAGCCGCCCACCCGGGCCTTGCCTCTACCTCAGTCACTACCCCCCGATTTCCGGCTGGAGACCACGG